TATTTACACGTTTATCAGTATATGAAAGAAAGCACAGACTTCTGAAGCCTGTGTCTCCAACCAAAAGCAAGGATGGGACCTCTAAAGGCAGAAATCACACATTTTCACAACGAAAAACGATGACTTGGTTTAAACAACCTAACTTGGATTGTCAGCTCAAAGTTGATTGGTTATAGTGGAGTCTGGCACAGTTGACTGTTATGCTCCAAGTCAGTTTGTTTAATCCAGATAGTATAGGCACAAATTTATCATCAGGCAGCTTTCCTACTGACTCTGATGAGCTTTCTGAAAAGTGGTTACTTTGGTTCCATCTTCTGGAGTTCTGGGTTGTACAGTGTGCAAATCCGAATGCACATACTCAAAGTTCAGCAAAAATTTATTTTATCCTTCTCTTCATGGACATAGATGGCTGCAGCAGTTCCAGATGTCAGATCCAGATATACAATATCTAAGGGCTATCTTGTATTATGCTGTAGCACAGTGATTTATTGTCTTCAGTAATCCCTTTCAGCAGTTAGGACTGAATATATACTAGACATAATGCACTGAATTAAAAATGCAACGTTGTTTTACCCTCTAGCAGTGAAGCAGTAAAATATTGGTCAGAATGGGAATCATGGGTAGGTCTAATCGTGCAGGAACAGGCGATTCTAAATAAGTTGCCAAAGAAATTCATTTTGCATCAGATTATCTTCTTTTCTGGGCAAATGTTGTTTAGGAGCTCTTGGTTACATAGCAAATAATCCCTGAATTCAAGGGCTGTTGTGTTATTACTGAACATTTTAAAGAGCTTACTTCCCTGCTCTGCCTCCCCTAGGAGATCCACGTCAATTTCTGTCTACTGGTACAATAGTTGAGGGAAGTGGGCTTTCAGCAAGCACACATTTGGGATAAAAGTAGAAAATAAAGGCCAGAAATCATGGCTGTTTCTTCCAGAGAAAATACCAGAGCATATTTAAACTCAGGGGTTGTGTGCTGTCTCTGGGGAATTTGCCCTGAGGCTATTTTGATACATGAATTAGAGGTCTCTTCGGTCATAGTTTCAGCATACTACATATGTTCTTTATAATTTGGAAACATTAGGGCGAGACTGGAGAAAACAGGAGGGGATCGTTAGCCTAGAAAAAAGGTTGAAGGAATGAGGGTGTTCTAGGGACCATGCAGATGGACTAAATCAGTTTCATGAGTTTACCTGGGGCCAGGTTGAAATGGTTCCTTTCAAAGCTCCTGTATCTGGTTGAACCACATCTCTGCCCCAGGTTTTGTGTAAATTTCATTCATTATTGCAACTCATTTGCCATTACCTAATTCAATTCTTTTTCAATGAATCTGGCAGTGTATTTCTTAGAAACAACATGAATGATGATGGCTTAAACCAGTTTCATGTCAAATATCCCTTCCTGGTTCAGTTCATGTTTGGGGGGCTTTTTTTTTTTTTTTTGAGATGGAGTCTTGCTCTGTCACCAGGTTGGAGTGCAGTAGCACGATCTCTGCTCATTGCCTCCTGGGTCCAAGCAATTCTCCTGCCTCGGCCTCCCACATAGCTGGGACTACAGGCGTGCACCGCCATGCCCAGCTAATTTTTCTATTTTTAGTAGAGATGGGGTTTCACCATGTTGGCCAGGATGGTCTCGATCTCTTGATCTCGTGATCCACTGGGCTCAGCCTCCTAAAGTGCTGGGATTATAGGTGTGAGCCACCATGCCCGGCCTTGGGGGCTTTTTTTTTTTACATAAGCAGCAGTATATCCCTTTAAAGAGATTTTGAAGCTTTATAGTGCAGTTTAAATTCCGGTTAACTAGTTATACAGTTTAGATTGGCAAAGCAGATACAATGCCAGCATAACATTTATTTATTCACCAAATGTTTGCTGAGTGCCTGCTGTGTGCCATGAATAGGACAGCTGTCTATTTAAGGTTTTAATAATACCTATTTAGCAATTATTATTTATTGCTACTGGAGGTGATAGATGCTGTCTGACTTGGTAGAATTTATTTTAGGAACAAATACATATTAATCATGTTTCTGACCTATAACATAATAGTTCATACTTAGCAACATTCAAATATTTTTATTCAACCAGCTTGGTCAACATGATGAAACCCTCTCTACAAAAATTAGCTGGGCATGATGACATGTGTCTGTAGACCCAGCTACTAGGGAGGGTGAGGTGGGAGGATCACCTGAACCTGGGGAGGTGGAGGCTGTAGTGAACTGAGATTGCACCACTATACTTCAGCCTGGGCAACAGAGTGAGACTCTGTCTCAAAA